GACACCATTATATCTTTTATCATATTGCTTTAATAATTAAAAAAATAACTAAAATTGGTTTATGTGGCAAAATTATCAACCATTAAATCATTTTTTTTTGAAGTAAGATCTTTGTAATAAAATACTTATTCTTGTAATTTTTGTTTATAAAATATCAAACCAAATTTTTTTCTGGTTTGATAAGGTAATATTTTAGATTAAAAAAATATTGAAGCGGCGAAATCGAATTGAATTTAGTGTCTCGGGTCAGACACCGGGCCGGGTTTGAAAAAAAGTGGAAACAAAACGAAGATTCTGGAATCCGTTGCTCACAAAGACGAATACGGGCTGCGAAACGAGGTCGTTTCATAGAACAATCCAGAATCCACTGGCTTCCTCGCAATTCAAAAGAAGAGACTAGAACAAACACATTCCTTTCCCCTCTATAAAAACTACCCACTTCTCTAATCTCAAGCAAAGAAACAATCAAATAATTCTCTCTCTCTCGATTTGCGATTTCTCGATTCGTCTTCCCATATTCTCTGAGTTTTTCGTGCGCGTTGAATACGAATCGTTGCGATGGCGGAAGTACAGATGGCTGATGCGGAGACCTTTGCCTTCCAGGCCGAGATCAACCAGCTACTTAGCTTGATCATCAACACTTTCTACAGCAACAAAGAGATCTTCCTCCGTGAGCTCATCAGTAACTCCTCTGATGTATGTATTCACAAATCTCTGCTTCTCTTCGATTCCTCCTAGGTTTTCTGTTTTCCTCCATGTTTTTGAGCTTTTTCCCCAGGATTTTGGATTCGCTTACGGTTTTGTTGTAGATAGTAATCCGATACAAGCCAATCGTGGTCTGGCTTGTGCATCAAGTTACTTTAGGATTCGTATCCCCCATATGTTGTAGTTATGGGATCTGTAATTAGGTAGCTGAACTGGTTTTTAGCTTGGTAACGATGTTCGATTTAACATTGAAACTATCGCTAGGATTTTAGTGATCTGTAATTAGGTAGCTCTAAAGCGAAGTTCGATCTAACATTGAGATTATCATGTGGATTTTAGTTTCTGGTTATTTGAGTAGCTCCTGGGTTGAAGTTTATGATACTTTCTGGAAGATTTGGTTTCTGATTATAATGCTTAATTGCTTATGAACATTGATGTATTTTTAGGCGCTTGACAAGATTCGATTTGAGAGCTTGACCGATAAGAGCAAGCTAGATGGACAGCCTGAACTCTTCATCAGACTGGTCCCAGACAAGGCTAGCAAGACGCTCTCGATTATCGACAGTGGCATCGGTATGACCAAAGCGGATCTGGTGAACAATTTGGGAACCATTGCGAGGTCTGGAACCAAGGAATTCATGGAAGCACTCCAAGCTGGAGCTGATGTGAGCATGATTGGTCAATTTGGTGTTGGTTTCTACTCTGCTTATCTTGTTGCAGAGAAGGTTATTGTTACCACAAAGCACAATGATGATGAACAATACGTGTGGGAGTCTCAAGCTGGTGGTTCCTTTACTGTTACTAGGGATGTTGATGGGGAACCCCTTGGTAGAGGGACTAAGATCACCCTCTTCCTCAAGGATGATCAGGTAATGAATCATAGTCTTCGGAGAGGATTGTTTTTTACTTTGAATGTGTTGTGTGTTCTCACAAGAGTGATTGATTCTTCTTGTAGCTTGAATATCTTGAGGAGAGGAGACTCAAAGACTTGGTAAAGAAGCATTCTGAGTTCATCAGCTATCCGATTTACCTTTGGACTGAGAAAACCACCG